AGTGATAGCTCTAGTAATGCAAACATAAGCTCTGCTGGACGCCTTCTCTAAAAGATATCATAAATATTTGGTTATATCATATTAAATATATAAATAAACTCTTATTTGGCAACCCTAATGGTAGGTGTGAGGGGAAAGCGTTTTAAAAATCTCGAATCGAATCGATTTCAATGAACAGCGACAGAGTTGGCGGATCAAACGGCATTATTGCCGATCGTTTGGCTATTGAACTGTCGTGTTAATGTAAAATGCTATGTATTTTATCTATTTTTTTTTTAATTATTGAAAATAGAATGAACGTACATATATATTTTAACATTTTTTTTTTATTTTAATATATAATGGAAGCACACATATATTGAATCTATTTTTTTAATGAAAGAAAATGCTTATATATTTTCTCTATTTTTTTTAATAATTGAAAATAGGATGAAAGTACATGTAGGTACATTTAATAAATTTTTTCTTTAATCAATAAATAATAAATTTTCTTTAACAATGAAACAAAATATTTCTGCAAAATAATGGTGAATATTACTTTTAGTACATAATCAAATAGATGAAGTCATATATTAATCCATTAAATAAAGAAAATGTTATATATTTTCTTAAAAAAAAATCGCGCGATGAAAGTACATGTAGGTACATTTAATCCATTTTTTTTCTTTAATCAATAAATAATAAATTTTCTTTAACAATGCCACAGTACAGTTATTTCTGCTAATGGTGAATATTAGCGGGGTTTTAGTCAACTAATTAAATTAATTAGTATATTCAAATATACGATGAAGATAAAGTCATTTGAATTAATCTATTAAATAAAGATTTTATTTTCTATCGCTAGACCATGTCGGCTAATTTATATATATAATGATAGGCTCTGAACCATTAGTAGACTTTCGGTTTAGCAGTGAGAGATGATAGGCACGTATGAATTCAGGTCAGTTGGCCAGTCGTGACGGATTTACAAACCAATTATTTATAACTATTTCCCCGCGACTTCGTCCGCGTTTGTGTTTTTCGTAAAATAAGTAGCCTATGTCCTTCCTCACGGTTCAGTGGTTTTGATGTAACAGACACATTTCCCTTCACTGCTCTGCTCCTATTGATCGTAGCGTGATGAAAAGTATACTATAACCTGCCCAGGAATATGAAAAATAATTGTACCAAGTTTCGTTAAAAATCTGTCGAGTAGTTTTTGTTTCTATAACGAACATACAGACAGACGGACAAAGATTTTACTAACTGCATTTCTGGCATCAGTATCGATCACCAATCACCCCCTGATAGTTATTTTGTAAATATATTTCTTGTACAGAATTGACCTCTCTACAGATTTATTATAAGTATAGGTATAGATATTCTCTAAAAGGATCGTGTCGATGTTCACCTGACAGACTATATTGTTTACAATGGAACTGCTTATCTTCATTACTAACAATACATTTCCCTTTTGCATTTGATATTATATACTAGCTATTATACGTACTCGTGGTTTTGACCACGTACCGTATTTTCCCTTTAGAATAAATAGATAGACACTTTTTATTGTTTTCTTCAAAAGATTACAGTAGTAAATTAAGTTAAAATTTTCAATAATACTTTCATAGTGGATTTTTTAAGTTACAAATTAAACCTAGAGAAAACCTAGATGAATATTGATTAACGCTTTGAGAAATAAAATAATAATAAATAATCTGATAGGTAGACATTTTAATGAGTGAAGTACTAAATGCCACTATAATGAATAAAATAAATAGAATTTATTTTATATTATTATATAATAATAAAAATAAAATAATAAATAAAAATATAAAATCTCTTATTAGAGAAAAGTTATTAGAGATTTAAACAATAAAGAATAAAGATAATAATGAATGAAATAATAAATGAAATTACGAATAAAATAATGAATGAAATATGTTTATTTCTTTTAAAAAATACAATTACAATATAAAGTTGGAATAACCTAGTAAGCATAGCAATGCCTGTGTCGGGTGGCCCCGCTCCCCCATAATCATATCCATGGCTACGTTGTATAATAAACATGAAATAACAATTTTTTTATATCACAAAGATGGAAACAAGCATACAGTCCATCTAATAGTAAACGGTCACTGTAGCCTATGTACGTCTACAACACTAGGGTTGTCACGTGCGCGTTACCGACCCTGAAAAAACCTTTATTGAACCATTTCTGAAGAATCCCGTATATACCAAAAATGGCAATAAAAACAAAACATTCAATCCATAGGATTAAATAAAAAGCAATATAATAGTTAATGTATTTATTAAGACAGCTACACTGACACTTTATTGCAAACTCGCTACAACTACTCGCCTTAATAAATATCTAATTATTTATTGTTTGTTTTATCATAAATTATATCTTATACAGACTGTCAATAAATAGTAGGTATTCAAACAAATTGGCAAAACTTACTCAAGTGTTAACTCACTATTAGTAATAAAGTGATGACTCACTATTAATGATAAAGTGATAACTCACAATAGTGAGTATCACTAATAAATGATAATTCACTTTAGTGAGTTTTATCAATTTGTTCTATATTAAAATATTCGAAAGATAATCACATTTTTTTAGATATTAATAGGTTTATCAGATATTTAATGCTTTTATGAAAAAAATTTATTCTTCTTGGTCATAAAAATGCCAGTTGTCTTATAAATCTATTTTAGTTATTAATTTAAACTGTAATACTTAAATAGACGACGATTACCATTTACCATCACGTAAGCCGTCAGCGTGGTTGCCATTCTAAGTTGCTTAAAAAAATAAATATATTTAATTAATTATAATTAAATTTATTAAAATTACGTTGTTATACGTTGCATATAAATCTACCACATAAAACTTTTCAGCTAAATACTTCATATTTTGCTTCGAAAATTTTAAAACATTTATTTTTAATTTTTATTATTAAAATCCAAATTTTTAATGGCAGCTTCATAAGAATATTATTGCATGTTTAACTTTGCTAATAGAGAATTTATAAATAATACGAACATTGAAAATTATTTAATTGTTCGATGAATTAAAGATAGGTACGCTTCTAAGCTGAACTACTTATTAACAATATGCAGTTAACACAGTGGTTATATTTTTTTCGAAATTAAAATAAGTCGATTGCGTAATATCGGAAATTACCATGAAAATACGATAGATATAGGTACAAACTCTCCCTCTGGTGATAGTGAAGGTACAACACTACTATTTATCGACAGTCGGTATAGAAAACATATTATTATTTATATGTTATTGTTATTTATTACTATTAATTTATTACTAATTTAATGAACTGTTAATATAATACATTACTAAAATTTACACAATGTACAACCCTAATTATTTACATTACGTACCTAATATTACTACATATTATAGTGCAGATACATTTTATTTTTCACTCGAAAAAATAATTTATTATCATAATTTACACAAAAATGGAATGTAAATCACAGACTTATGTTATGACTTACATTAAATATAAATTAAAATGTAACAAGTAAAACAACAACAGAGTAAATAAAATTGAAAGATAAAAGCTAAATTTTAAATTAAAAAAAGGTAGAGTGAGTCAGCGTCAAAGTTTGGTGGCCTTGGTTAATTAATGAAAAAAAAATACAAAAGAGGACATGAGAATAAATAAAAAGATAAATAAAACCAAATAATCGTAAACATAATCATATCAGCCTTTAACTGTCTTCTGTTGAACATAAGCCTCCTCCTTTGGGGTTACTAGTAGTTGCCATGCTTGGCAAGTAGATTAGCAACCGCAGTCAGGCTTTAAAAATATTTTAAGAGGGACGCTACTGTCCATCCCTCGCCCTCCCTTAGTCGGCTCTCTCGAGATCCATAGAAAAGGAAGGGGTGGCATATTCTATGCCGGAACCACGAATTTAGATTTCGAACATAACTTCTTTAATTAAATAAATTCCATTTAAAATAATATTATATATATATATATATATATATATATATTTATATATATATCATTCTGTCCTACGGAGTAACTCACTTATTTTTTAACTATACAAAATATAAAATTGTTTACTAAATAGTGATAGTACTTCACTAAAAAGAATAAAAAATAGATTCATATAATACTATATTATTTTTAAAACATGCCTATACATATACTTATATATATAGGCATTCATAGGCTTTGCAAGCTATGACCCGCAATGCGAGGCGAAACGCTAAGACGTAGGTAAACTATAATATCTTTGTGTTTCCAGATTTTATATGTGTGTGTTTGGAACTTACAAATAATCGATATTATTGTTGGAAACAACATAATAAGTACATAAAAATCCCATTATATATATATATATAAGTACATATACCGGCCTGAAACAGGTTCTACAACTGAGTTGTATCTTTCATATTAAGCACTTACACTATTATAACATACCGCTATTTACATTGTAACTTAAATCAAGTTTCTACTTAATAGGCCCTTCTGAATAAGAGTCGCAATCATGAAATACCTAATAATATGTATGAAATATTAATGACACTGATCTATTTGCAAAAGTAAATATATTTTGAATTTCACATACACAGGTACTAACTTTTAAAAATCGAATTTTAAAAAATCTGTTACATTGCAATTCCTACCCGAAGAGCCTCACAAATGTTTTATTGAGATCTTTGGAAATATGCTAAGAGTTTTCTCGTTTATTGTATATATAACACACGTACCTATTCGTACATTAAGGCACACTTCTTTAATATTTATTATGCAGTTGCCATAATATTTAATACACACGAATTTGGAGAAAAACCATACATATTATAATGTTAATTAGTTTCTTTGGATATTTTTTATAGACAAATAATGATACTGTTTCTAATTTGTTTTTTGTTTTACTATACTTGACATAGATAACAAAGATGTTTTTAAGCGAAATAAGTTATTAAAAATAAAACAAAAAAATAATTATATATATAAAATAATCGATTGATACAAAAACACTTTTATTATTATTATTTTATGGACTGTTATTTTAATTTAAAAATGTCTTGATTCTTTATTAAATATGCCTAGTATAGACATATGCAATACAATATATTACAGAAAATTCAATTTTAACTTCCACAAAAATGACGGAAATATTGCAATTGTATAATTTAGTTAATATAAATTTGTCATTTTCATTTACATCGAATTCTTATTAAGTACATTGTACGAGGATTCAATTTGAGTTCAAATTATTTAATAAATTTAAACTCAATAAAAAAAGTTATATATCAATTTCAAATCTAACTTCAAGTTGTATTACATGGGAATTTATCCGGTATTCTGCGAACGGAAATCCAGGGATCAAATTCATATAGCAAATGGGCCTTGAAGCCACAAGGTTTTAGTGGGTAAAAATCCCATACACGTCTTCTGCCCTCTCTCCGGCAGTAAGACGATATACTCATATTAAAAAAGTGGGTTAATTCCACATTCAAATGAGGTTACTAAATGGTAACTTCGATAAAAAACTATTAAAAACTTCATGTGAAGGATTGAGATCAAACCTATTCTAATTCCAAATTTTAATAAAGTTACTAAAATAAGTTAAAACTATTACCTTTTTGAAGTCGAGTGTGTACAGAGTAGAACAGTCACTATGTTTATAAGAGTCGGCACTGTCCTTAAACTGACAAAACTGGAACATGAATACATGCAACCAAAGCTTCTATCCAAAATATCTATAACGATAGATGTCATCTATGATCTACCTAGTTATTTTATAGTGCAAATTGATCAAATTAAATGATTTGGTTGCATATGTTCGTAACGTGGGCCTGGTGTAGACTAATTTCACACGTAATTCTAATGCTAAATTCAAATCAGGTTACGTATGCACTTTGTTATTGTGTTGTAAGGCGACATGATCTTGTAACAATGCGTCGTGGGCTCGGAGACGTAGTGCTTCAGCGCTTGCCAGACGTGCCAAGGAGGATGAGGGGGATGGGGGCGAGGGTGGGGATGATGGCGCTGGTGGGTCCGGCTCTGGTGGACGTAACGCTGGTGGTGGTAAGGCTAGCACATACCTGTGTGGAACAATAATGAAAATATACAATTATTGCATTGTAACCAGAATCAAATTGAAATTAAATAGAAATTGAGTAAAAAATTGAATGATATATGTGATAAATGTAACAACGGACTAATAATAAAACGATCAGTGGACAAATACATTACTGATTACAGTAAACTCTATATCAAGCCATCGGCTAAAAACAGGCACGAGTCCCACAACGGCAACTTTCAAGAAAAAGAGAAAATTAAAATCAAAATTATGGAATACGGATACATAACAGCTTAAGTAACATATGAGATGTTATAGTCAGTACATTCTGTGATATCGATAATTCTATTCATGTCTCTAGGCGATCATCAATTTGTTGCATATAATAACTCTATAAAAATATATAAAAACAGTTACCTATGCAGTAATGCACGGAAAGCTGCAGCCGGTTCAGCATCATGCCACAACGGCGTTGGGACCCCGAGAGCTCCCAGTCCAGCCCCCAGTCCCAGTGCCCACCACTCCCCACCTGGTGGGGCGCCACCTGCCCACTCGCCTACTACTGTAACAATACCATATATTAAATATTTAAATATATCTAGGTAGGTGAAAGCCAAACGGCCTTAAAATAAGGACATATTTTATAATAGAGCTGTTTATTGGTAAAATACTGTCCATCATCATAATCAACACTTCAGCCGTGGACAGTTAGACCATTAATTACGATTACGACCATTAACACCAGATTGTTTTAATTTAAAAAATAAATTAACAGTCAAATTTTAAAAGACTTTGTTTCTGATCTCTAATTAAAGATGTTACCGAAAGGCGACCTATAACACCAGATTGTTTTAATTTAAAAAAGTTTATTTACTAAATTTGGTCTGATCTTCAATTAAATCCAAAAGGCCAGTGCTTGCTTCATCATCATGTCAGCCTTTAACTGTCCACTGCTGAACATAAGCCTCCCCTTTAGGCGGTTTTGCCAGTAGCTGCCAAGCTTTGCAGGCGGATTGGCAACCGCATTTAGGCTTTGGAGATGTTTTAAGAGGAGCGTTGCTATCCATCCCTCGCTCTCCCTTAGTCACCTCTTACGACACCCACGGGAAAGAAAAAGATGGCCTATTTGATGCCAGAACCACACGGCAGTGCTGGCTTACCTTCGTAACGTTGTCTATACCATAGTGGTAAGCAAATGTTGTTGATAATAAAAAATATATAGTTCGTTGAAGCAGGTGACCATTAACAAGTAATATCGCTATGTGTATTTACACAAATGATAAAACGAACAATGCTCATTGTAAAACTATCACCTGGTACTGTACATAGTATTAAAGTATAAATATAATGAAGTAACTGTCGTTTTCACTTTTTTATACTATGACTAGCTTTTCTCTTCGACTTCGTCTGCCTGATACTTACTATTCACTGACCGGAACAAAAAGTAGTCTTTAACCATCTCCAGGATCCCATCTATCTCTATACCAAAAATAATCATAATCAATTCAGCGATTTAGACGTGAAATCTTAACAAATAAACTCACTTTCTCATTTATACCTAATACGTCTGATGGTACACGGTTCTCATAGTCTATAGGCGTCTGTGGTATCATGGGTGTCACGCGAGCATTGTCGAAGAATTGCCTTTTTTGAAGAATCCCGTGTATAATATATAGTCTCTAAGGAAACCTCGGAAGGAAGGTTATCTCTTGAACATCCACTTGAACGTTTAGAGGAAACTCTTCTAAAATCGCACGTGCGTAACCATTTTGGTTTAAGGGTGTGAGGATGGCTTTCCCGCCGACGGCAAGCATGGTAGTAGTATGCATTGTTTTTAAGAGTTCCTCAAACTATCCATTATAATATATATATATATATATGCACGTATTTAACACAATTATTCAAAAAAGTTAAATAAGCACACAGTATACAAAACGGGTTTGTTATAAGTAATATTTAAATGATACTAACTTAATATTTGTCTGTGTACCTATAGTTGCAATTGATCTAATTTTTATTCAGTAATCACAATAGTTAATAGTTGTTTATAATAGTTCAATGCATTTGTATCAATGCATTCCCGTCAAATGAGAAATCAAAGTAATTAATCAGTATGTCGTTATTTAATTTTAAGAGTCGGCACTGTCCTCGTATTGATTAAACTGAAAATGAATTCTATGCAGTCACCCATAATAGGCATCAGCACAATAAAATGAACAAGTATTTCTAATTTCGAAATTATTTATAATATGACTTTGACCAAATTTTCATTATTGATAGGTGTCATGAAAAATGTATCTACTTTCAGGTTGCATAGATATCATATATTTTTATTTGCAGTGACACAGGCCCTCGAGACTTTGTTTCCCGCCAAAAATTCTATCAAAATTGTCAAAGTTATCATAAAATATTTATTTTTTTAAATAGCAATTCAACGAGGTTAGTTTTATACATTTATACAATAAAAACAAATGAAGTATTTATAAAAGTAGGTACCTATTGCTAGAATAAAAATAATTTATTAATAAATTAGTAAAATGGGCCTTTTTTTATTTGTAAGATTTTTTACACTGATTAATAACAGAGTAGCGTGTTTTGGTATATAAATATTTATTTACGTATGTGTTAAAACTGCCTCGTTTAGAATCGACGATTTAAAAGTAAAAAATTAGGGTAGTTATACACTAATGCGCATATAATGATAGCGGTGTATTAACAAGCGCGCGCGACACCGGTGATTCGTTTACGTCGTGATTTATCGTTTGTTATTACGCACCCCATTTCGAAACTCGATAATTGCTTGAATTTTATATTTCCATTTGTTAATGTTTCGATACTTGGTGTTACACGCGACTTTGTCTGCGTGAAATGTACGTTTCGTACAAACTAATCATTTTTATGGACGAAACCAGAGGGAGCCTTTGTACAAAATTCGTTTGCTTGTGCACCTCTGTCCCATTCGTGTTTATACCGTTAAGCAGTTGTGTTTGCATGGCTGTGTTTCGATTTGAAAGGTGGGATATGACTAAATTTATAGGGTACAGAAGAATAACACCTGAGCCCTCAGAAATAGTAACGCATGGGGGTTATCTTGGGCGAAACAGTATACTCATGTCTATAAGCGACGGTTACCACTTTTCATCAGGTGGACTGTCAGCTTGTTTGCCATTCTAAGTTACATAAAAATAAATAGAATGGTAACACTGTCCGTGCTATACTCTCGAGAACGCTCAGACCTTCTACCGTCTGGTTTGTATTTTAAAGAACATTTCAATATGATGTCTACAGCCACCTTTCAACATCGCACCGTTCGCTACCGGTAGGGAATCCATCCTTACACATTAGTGTGGCGTCTGTAAATAAATATTGTACATATTCATCTCACAGCCACTTGTCAACATCATTGCTTTCTTCTTAGACCAAAATCGAGGTGTAGTTGGGTATAGCCGTATGTAGCTATATTTACCTTCTGTATATAATATATGTAAATAGACAAAGTTAGTTGTTATACTTATTTCCTCCGAACAACTACAATAGAACCAGAATGGTCACACACAGTGCAGTTTCAGAAGAGCTTCCTCCCGCGAACACTCAGGTTGTGAAATTATCTTCCTGCCGCGGTTTTTTCTAGAGAATACAGTATGGGGTTATTAATAAAGAGCGTATTTATATTTCTTAAGAATTAGCAATATTGAATAAGAAAATATTGTTAAAATAAATAGCGTTACTATAACACACGTATGAAAGGAAAAAAATTGTTATCTCTTTTATGTATTTTGCTTTTTTTGTATATGTATTTTTTTATCTCTTTTTACTCTTTTCTCTTTTTAGTAGACATACATACTAATATCTGTTGTTTTTTGTGTCCTGTATATAATGCAAATAAATTATATATCTATTGAAAATAAAAATTGACGAATTGACACGGTGCGTTTAATATTTTTTTTAATGGATGATTAATGAAATGGCAACCTACCCGCGCTATCGGTATACACTGGCGAGGCACCAGTAAAGGATGATGGGTGAAGATGAAATGGCAGGTCAGTTAGCCTATCGTGACGAATTCAACGATAAATTAGTCACGGTAGTTTCCAGGGGTAACCGCGTAAAGGTCGATTTGAGTATATTGATAGCAATGGAGATTAACTACCCCGTTACTAACAATCCTTTCCCCCCAGCAGTTTTACTATGGTAGATTTTATATTTTCTGTCGTGACTTTATCCCATTTTTTTTTTTGATAGGTGAAAATGGTATGGTAACCCCGCCTGCGCTAACGGGACACGCTGGCGGAGCACCAGTGGAAGGTGATAGATGAGAATGAAAACAGGCCAGTTAGCCCATCATGATGAATTCATCAGGAATTAACCATGATAGTTTCCACGGAGAACCGCGAGGAGGTCGACCTGGTTGGGTATATTGCTAGCAATAGGATTATCAGTCTCCATTACTAACAATCCCTTTCATCCCACGTTATCCCATATTAATTTATTATCACTAGTTACTTTTTATTTCAATTTACATAGGCAATGCCCCGGGGCATAGCTATCTATAAGGTAGTTAGAATTAGGGTGTGAAATAAGGGTGTACTGATTTCACTACCAACTGCCGGCAGTTAACGTTAATTGTAGTTGATACGAAGTGTCACTACATCGCACCGGTCACCGGTTACACTGCATTTGTAGGGTTGTCACGTTATAGTTTTTTTTAACCTAACACAACGACAAAGGAGTGGGCAGTAGTAGTGCAAAACAGAGATCAAAATAATTATAATAAGTACATATTTACAAAATTTACATATCATTATATCTATTTTATAAAATTATCATATATTTTTTTTTTTGATGTGAAAATGTTTTGCGCTAACGGGATACGCTGGCGGAGCACCAGTGAAGGGTTAGATGAGAATGAAAACAGGCTATACATACATCAGGTTAATCATGATAGAGAACCGCGAGGAGGTAACCTGGTTGGGTATATTGTTGGGATTCTCAGTCTCCATTTAACAATCTTTAGTGGGTTTTAGGATTTTAATCTATACATACATGGTATACTGAGAATAACTTTGTCTGTTACTGCTCTTTATCTCAGCGAAAACGAATTCTAAAGGCTTGTAATTTTGGATAATTTTAAATATTATTGAATCGCCCACTCTTATTAAATATAAGCAAAATAAAATATTAAAAATATTATTTCTTTATGAATTAATTATTACCTGTTGCATTTTAAGGTAAAACTTATAGAGGTAAGCAAAAATTTAAGTTATATGAAGATATTAAATCATATATATAGATATAAAAATTAGGTATTCTTTGTCTACAACATTGATTGGTAAAATTTAAAATAAAATGTATACTTTTCACGTTAAAGTGACAACCCTACATACCCATTATATAAACCACAGAGCACACACATGTTGAATAGATAAAAATCAAATCGGCGACATCGACTATTAATGATAAACACTACAATTATTATTCCCTTACCGCTTAGCGCCATCTAGCGGTGATTATGGAAAACGAACCGCAAATTATAATACAAATAACACGTCGTATGTTATTTCCTACGATTGTGTATAATTAAGGCCAATTTTCGGAACTAAACACGTTAAAGGCATTTTTTACTCGTTAAAATAATATTATTTAGGACGATTCAAAATACATATATGAAGTAAATAGTGATTAGTGAGCGATTAGACGGCGCGATTGGACTCTTGTTATTATTTCGAATTTATGGTATGATTTTATTTTCTTTTTAAATAATACCTACCGATTTATGTCACATGTTTTATGATTTATGATTTATGTTGGATTGTTCCTTAATTATTACGTACACACACACACAATAAATTCAAAAAATTCAAAAACTGTATATTATGGAGAATTAATATAGAAGAATACTTAATATATTGCTTGGGTACCTTTGTCCCATTCGTGTTTCTACCGTGAAGCAGTTGTTTGCATGGCTGTGTTTCAGTATGAAGGGTGGCATATGGCATAAATTTACAGGGTACAGAGGAACCTGAGTCCCCAGGAATAGCAACGCATGGGGGGGTATCATGGGTGAAACAGTATACTCTGTTATGTCCATGGTACTGTCCATGGCACCGCTCATGTCTATAGGCGACGGTTACCACTTTCCATCAGGTGGGCCGTCAGCTTGTTTGCCATTCTACATTGTATAAAAAAAAATATCTTTCATTTTAATAAATTCTGTTAAAATAGTAAAAACATCAGAGAAATCATTTAGCTTAAAAAAAGAATCATTAAAATCTTTGAGGAAAATTTGGCAAAGACAACATATATATAAAAGATAAAAAAATGCACCATTCGAATATAAAACGTCTTCCTTTTCGAGTTTGACTAAAGATACCATAACTCACCATGCTCGTGGTGCATAAAAGGCGCGTGATCTCTACCCATCGCCTTCTCCCGTTTGCGCCATTTTGCCCGTCTATTTTGGAACCACACCTGAAACAAGTAAATAGATATTAAAAATTTTAATAACACAATAAATACATATAAAAGATAAAATAAAAAGGAAATTATTAAATTAATAGATATACATATCATTTAAGTATTTATTTTTATTTTAATTTTAGTTACCAGAAGATAATAAAAAAAAATCAAGTTAATTTCTCTTCACAAAAAAATTTACTTTAGTCGTGATTTCTTAACAAAATATTTTTTTTTAATTTATTTTAATTTTAAAACTAATAATATGCACCTATTGATGACTAGATAATTCGAATAAAGTTAGAATATTTAAATTTAGAATTTATTATCTTATAGCAGCGTCCCTCTTAAAACATTAATGCCAAACGGTTGCCTCAACAGTTATCCTTTGGTGATGGTTAAGAGGGATCCGCCTACCAAATATGGCAACTGGGGGCAAAGGAATTGTTAGCAATGGAGTTTGACAGCCCCATTGCTAGCAATATACCCTATCAGGTCAACCTCCACGTGGTTCCCCCTGGAAACCATCGTGAACAATTCTTGTTGAATTCGTCACGATAGGCTAACTGACCTACTTCATCCTCACCTTAATAAATTTAATAAATTCTTCACTGGTGCCCCGCCGGTGTATACCGATCGCGCGGGTGGGAGTTTTTTTTTTGATAGGTGAAAACGGTATGGTAACCCCGCCTGCGCTAACGGGATCCGCTGGCGGAGCACCAGTGAAGGGTGATAGATGAGAATGAAAACAGGCCAGTTAGCCCATCATGATGAATTCATCGGGAATTAACCATGACAGTTTCCAGAGAGAACCGCGAGGAGGTCGACCTGGTTGGGTATATTTTGCTAGCAATGGGATTCTCAGTCTCCATTACTAACAATCCCTTTCGCCCCTGCCTCAACAGTTAATCTTTGGTGGTGATTTAAGAGAGATCCTCCTGCCAAGCGTGCCAACTATTGGCCAAATCTGTTAGGGGAAGGCCTATATTCAGCAATGGATAGTTAAGGGTTGATATGATGTCTATAAGATTTTGCTTCGTAATAATCAGGATTTTGCTCTACAAAAAAAAAGCGGCGTCACAGAAATAATAGGTGTCCAAAACGGAAGTAAACCACAGTATGTCAATTAACGTAATCCGTTCCTTAAAACTAGTGTTAGTATTTATTTAAAAATGTTATATTACCAGAAACTTGTGAATCGATTAAAAAAAAAAGATCAGTATATAGTCCCGGCGTCGCACGGGTGGACATTTTTAACATTTCCCTACACTGCTCTGCTCCTATTGATCGTAGCGTGATGAAAAGTATACTATGCCCTAGCCCTGTCCAGAAGTATGAAGATAAATTGTACCAAGTTTCGTTAAAATCCGTCGAGTAGTTTTTGTTTCTATAACGAACATATAGACAGACAGACAGACCAAAATTTTACTGATTGCATTTTTGGCATCAGTATCGATCACTAATCACCCCTTGACAGTTATTTTGGAAATATATTTCATGTACAGAATTGACCTCTCTACAGATTTATTATAAGTATAGATTATAATATTACTACTGTAACTTATTTAAACTTTTTGTTTTTTTACGAAAATAAATTTCATTTCATTTCGTTCAGGAGTGTCGTATTTTTTAAATATTCTCAGATAGGGCTGTCTACAGTATAAGAATACCGCACCGCTCTCGCTATGGCAATTTTAATTTTTTTATTGTGTAATTGTTGGCAATTTGACACGCCGCCCGCGCACCCCGCGCCCCCCTCGCTCGCCGTCACTCGACTACAATGGAGACGTAATGAAAAGCAATTACCCATACGTGGTTTCCATGCCTCGAGACAAATGTAACATTTCAAACTGTAACACTAAGGGAATATGGTTCAATTCACATATTGCACGAAAGCAGAATAGAAATAAATTGAGCCAGCAGAGTGGCATTCCGCTAATAAAAAGACATTGTAAGAGTACGAAAAATTGGTGTAATTTCATAATTTTCTGAATGAGACCGCTCTACTGTAACGTTGCATTCTCACAAAGGTTCACAAAGTGAATGCAATTAGTGATTTAATACTTTGAAGCTGAACTAATTACTTGAAAGTTGCCAATTGTACATTATTAACCCAACGCAATCTACCGACAGTTTCAGGAAACTATTCTAATATGAATTTTCATACAGTAACTCTAATACTCTATTACTTACAGGCAAAAGATTGGGGGGAAAGGGATTGTTAGTAATGGAGACTGAGAATCCTATTGCTAGTAATATACCCAACCAGGTCGACCTCCTCACGGCTCTCCCTGGAAACTATCATGGTTAATTCCTGATGAATTCATCATGATGAGCTAACTGGCCTGTTTTCATTCTCATCTATCACCCTTCACTGGTACTCCGCCAGCGTATCCCGTTAGCGCAGGCGGGGTTACCATACCATTTTAACTCTTTAAAAAATGCCTTAGACTATATAATTAAGTCTCTTTATATAAACCAGAGGGAGACTTTGTACAAAAGTCGTTAGCTTGGGCACCTCTTTCCCATTCGTGTTTCTACTGTGAAGCAGTTGTGTTTGCATGGCTGTGTTTCGGTTTAAAGGGTGAGATATGGCAGTGAATTTACAGAGTACAGAGGAATAACATCTGAGTCCTCAGGAATGGCAATGCATAGGAGTATCATGGGTTAAACAGTATACTCTGTTATGTGTATGGTACTGCTCATATCTGTAGGCGACGGTTACCACTTTCCATCAGGTGGGCCGTCAGTTTGCTTGCCATTCTAAGTTGCATAACAAAAACGTTTTCTCAAAAACAGATCCACTTTTTTATCCATGTGTACGTAAATTGGGTTATCAGTATCACTACATTATATTAAACAAAATCGCTGTCGCTGTCTGTCCGTCCCTATGTATGTTTAAATCTTTAAAACTACACAACGGATTTTGAAGCGGGTTTTTTTATAGATAGAGTGATTCAAGAGGAAGGTTTGTATGTATAATATTTATTACATGCATAATATTGTAGAGAAACACTGATAATTTTAGAGATTTCTAATGTGATGTGATGTAATGTGCACCCGTGCGAAGCCGGGGCGGGTCGCTAGTATACAATAATACTGTATAGAAAAAGATTGTATTATGAAGTCAAATTGGAAAATAAAAGCTATACGAAATTCTTATGAATATATTTAAAAAAAAAAAACAAGATAATTCCTAATGAATCGCAGTGATGCTTATCTTTACTGAACACTTTTATTTATGTATGAAATACAAATATAAAATATGTACTTGTATTTAAATCATTGAAAATGGTTCATGGAGAATCACGTTCACGCGTAATACCTCTGGTATTGCAGGTGTTCATAGGCTACGGTAACCACTTACCATCAGGTGGGCCGCATGCTTCTTGGCCACCTCAGTGGTATAAAAAAAAATAATACAAAAAGAATTAACCAAGACAATTTCCAGGGAAAACCACGTGAATATCGACCTGGATTTTTTTAATGGATGATTACTTACAATCCCTTCCTCCCCCCCCCCCCCGGTCAGTTAGATGGCTTGACCAACATGTATGGTAACAACATTTACATATAATGAATACATGTATATTAATTAATACAGCATAGTATAGTGGATGCAGGTAACTGTTCCTTATGGCCGTCTATGGCTATCTATGGGATATCTATGGGAGAGGTCTACGTTCAGCAATGGACACTTAGCGGCAGATGACGATGATGATTGTAATTTATAAGCAACATTTATAAATATATATATTATATATTAGAAAAATAATTCCAAATTCAAATTAAAAAAAATTGGCATTATCTGGGAAAATTTTATTTAAATTTTTTACAAATATCTACGGAGATCGTCTAGTTATAATTTTACTGTAAACAAAACAAAATCTGGTAGTACATAAGTATCTTTATGTTCAAAGTTGCAGCCACTTTTTTACGTAAAAAAATTTGTTTATTAAAAAGAAATTATCTGTACTTGATAATTAAAGAATTTTCCCATAAAAAAAACCTCTGCAAACCACTTGAGCGATACTCGAATGAATGATATCCAATTAAATTAATAAAGTATTCAATTAAAACAAGTTAAAATACAAGTCAATGCAAAATTGAGAACTACAATAAATAGACCACGTGTCGATCACTTGAGAATTTATTAGAGCTTTGATTGTTTCCAATTTTATTCTCAAAGTGCAAACAAAATTAAACTCAGTATTAACCAATGGTAAGTCTATTTTAGAATAAGAAATGTTGCGCAAGTAAAGAACATAGTACAAATAAAATTATACTTTATTTTAAAAGCAACTGTGCTGATTCTCGCTTGTAAGCGGCGGAGTAGGGGGCGTGATGGTCGTTTGTCAGTGAACGCCATCTATCGAGTGGATTAAAAGCAATTTGCACTGCGTGGAGTGTGATTTAAGAATGGTGGGTAGTGTGCCCGTGATTGCGGCTAGGGTTGGTATTTTTTTTATAATTTTATTTATTTTTAATAAAATAATAAATAGGCCAGGACACATTACACAAATATAGTCCCAAATTAATCAGAGTTTATATAAGAGTAGACTGCACAATTTGATATTTAAATATTTATATTAATATTTTTTTTTTTTTTTGTTTTAACACTAATATCTGGAATTAACAATCGGTATTGATTAATTCTTTACTCATTTGATAGTAGTTACATTTCTTGAGTAGTAAGTAAGAAAGTTATTTAACATCACGGTACGGATGGAGAGAGATAAAAGATTTTAGTAATGGGGAATAATAGCTCCATTAGTAATAATATACCCCGTCAGGTCGACCTCCTCGCAGTCCCCCCTGAAAACCATTGTATTTAATTCCAAGTTGCCATCACAATGAGCTAGCTAATTGACCTGTCTTTTAATCATCACTCCCTTACTGGTACTCCGCCAGCGTATAATAATAGAGCAAGCGGGTTACCATTGCATTATCACCCATTAAAAAAAACTCCTGATACGACTTCGGAAGAAGCCGCGGAATGTAGCTAATATTTTATA